GGGATAAAAAAAAAAAATAAAAGCCTTGCTGAGAAGGAGATTAACCCCTTCGGGGGGTGGGGATGGCTCCGCGGCCGGACTCTGGCTGGGGACTGGGAGAAGAGCCCTCCAGGGGGACAATCCCAGCTGGGACTGGGAGAAGAGCCCTCCAGGGGGACAATCCCAGCTCTCCCCGGAGGTGGTGGGGGCCGGGGCTGGCAGGGAAGGGTGATCAGCCCCCCCCACCCCAAAAAAACCCCATCTTCATTGCCTCCTGGCAGCCCCGGCTGAGCCCCACACCCCCAGGCTGGAGGTGGGAGCAGCCCGTGCCTCGATTTCCCCATTCTCCCCTTGTCACCTCCCCAGCTGGTGCCAGGGTGGTGGGGGTGCCAGTGGTGTCCCCAGCCCCATCGGGACAAGGTTTGGGTGAGGAGCCCCTCACCGTGGCATCGCGCCCGAGGGTACCGGGCTGGGTTCGTTTTTGTGCCATTTGTAGGTGGGAAAGAGGAGGAAAATAATAAGAAAAATAGGAGAAAAAAGCCCCTCCACGTTGGGCTCGTGCCCTGCACCGCCCCAGCACCGGTGGCCCCATCGTCCCCGTCCCTGTCCCCTCTCCCAGCCACATGGGTGTCCCTGGGGGACAGGGAAAACTGTCCCCTGTCCTCCCAGCTGGCAGCCATGTGCTCAGGGGCCCGGTGGCTGGGCCCCCCTGTGCTGGCCACGGGCACAAAGGGGACCTTATTTTGGTGGTGGGTGGCTTTTGGGCACCCCTGGGTCTCCCTGGGCGGGGGGGGGGACACGGGCAGCAGAGCCTGGTCCCCAAGCTGGTGGTGTCCCCAAGCCGGTGGTGTCCCCAAGCCGGCTTCGTTCCTCTTGCCTCTCTTCCAGCACGCTCGGCGTCCCGGGGTGACCTTGGCATGTCCTTGTCCCCGTTGTCCTCGTCCTCATCCTCCTGCCGCCCAGCATCGCGGAGGGCTGGGGGCATCGTGGTGTGCCCCCCCTTGTCTTGGGGGGGGAGACCCTCCGCTCGCCCTTCCCAGGGTGACTGGGGGAAGGTGGCCCTGGGATGGTGGCCCTGCCCTCCAGCAATGACAGTCCCCAGGGACTGGTGGCTCTGCCACAAGTGACATCCTCAAACCCCTTCTTTGCTGGCTCGTGAGGAAATCGGGGCTTTCGTGGTCCCCAAAAAAATGACACTGGACATGTCCCATGCCCCCTCGGTGCAAAACGTGTTCCCAGAGGTGCCACCAAGCCAGGCTCATGGGGATGTGTGGTGATACAAAGGCTCCAGTGCCCATGTCCCAGCCTGGTGGCCACCCCAGGAGGAGGGTTTGCAAGCCCCCAGCACTGCCATCACGTGGTGGCAGCATGGTGGCCTCGCCAGGACAACAGCACTGGGAGCAGACTCACCGGGATGGCAGCACCAGCGTAGCCTCACCACGATGGTGACACCAGGATTGGCCTCTCTGGGATGGTGGCACTGGCACCAGCCTCGCCGGGATGGCACTAGGAGGATGTCCTCGCTGGGATGGTGGCCCCAGGACTGGCTGTGCCAGGCTGGCACTGGGATGTCCTCACCGTATGGTGGCACCTGGGATGGCCTTGCTGAGGTGGCACCAGGATTAACATCACCAGGACAACACGGACTGGCCTCACTGGGATTGTGGCACTGGGATGACCTCGCCGTATGGTGGCACCAGGATTAGCTTCGCTAGGATGGCACTGGAACTGGCATTACTGGGGCTGGCCGCGCTGGGATGACACCAGGATGGGCTTACTGGGACTGGCATCTCCAAGACACCGCTGGGACTAGTCTCACTGGATCTTGCCTCACTGGGACAGCGCTGGGGTGGCCTCGTTGGGACAGTGGCATTAGGGCAGCAACTGGGATCACCTCACCATGCAGGCACAGGGACTGGTCTTGCTGGGATGGCATCAGGACGGCCTTCCCAGGACTTGTGACCTGTCCATGTCCCCGCACAACCACCCCTTTGAGGGCTGGAGGGGACTCTAGAGTTCCCCTCCTGCCCCAACAGTCCTCAGGGGAGCTGGGGGCTCCTGGGGCTCCCCGCTGTGGGGCTGGAGCCCTCCACCGTGGTGGTGTTGGCCATCACTGCTGGTTTGGCCATCGCTGCTTTGGGGGAGGCCACAGGTGCTGGAGGGCTCAAACCTTGCCCTGTGCACCAGCTCCTTCCCTCCCTTCAAATTTCCAAACCCATAACGTCTTCATCCCTTTGAGGAAAAGATCACCCAAAATCCTGAGGTCTCTGTGGTCTACGATGTTGTGTGGCCAGACTGGAAAGGGGAAAAACCCACGTGGGGGAAAGGGTAGCACTCAGCCTTTATTAGCCATCAGAGAAGCCACATCTAGCCAGGCATGGGCCACCAGACTGCCCCATCTCTCCGTAACGGTGAAGGGTGGGGGTTGCCTTGCCCGGGGAGGTGGCACAGAGGGGTTGAGGGGTTCTGGTTGTCACTGTCCTGTTCCTTCCTTGCAGAGCTCCTACCCCATCTGGGAGGACTTCAACTCAAAGGCCACCAAGCTGCACTCCCAGCTCAGGTGAGTGGCTGGGGAGGGTGGGGGACATAGGGGACACCCCCACCTCCCCCCCCTCCTCCCCATGGGCACATCCTGGGGTGCCCAGCACCTGCTGAGCTCCCCTCTCGCTCTCTCCACCCCAGGACCACGGTGCTGGCCGCAGTCGCCTTCCTGGATGCCTTCCAGAAAGTGGCCGACATGGCCACCAACACCCGAGGTAGGGTCCTCCCCACCCAGGGGTGGGTGTCCCCGGGGTTGGGCCAGGCAGGGGGACGGCTGGCGAGTGTCCCCCGTGGGGTGTCCCCTGCCCCAGGTGGTTGGGGTGGGCTTCAAGCAGCAGCTCCGCCGACCATGGAGACATGTCCAACCTGTCCCCACCCTGAAGTGGAGCATCCCCTGGGAAGCAGGGCTGGAAAGATGGGGTGGAGCTGAGGGGTGAGGAGCGGGTGAGGTGGGCACCCATGTGGGTGCTGCTCCTCACCACCCATGGGTGCTCAGCCACCATCTTCTTCTGGTGGGGTTGCTTTGCTCTTGGGGAGATTCGGTGGTGGTCCCACACCCCTTGGGATGCTCCCAGATGTGGGGCTGAGCCACCCTCTCGATGTCCCTTGTCCCCTGCACCCAAAGACATAAGGTAGGGTCCTCCCCCACCCCACCCAGGTGGGTGTCCCCAAACTGGGCCAGGCAGCAGGGACAGCCAGCAAGTGGATGGCCCTCTGCTGGGGTGGGCTTCCAGCAGCAGCTCCATTGACCATGGAGACATGTCCAACCTGTCCCCATGCTGGGAAGCAGGGCTGGAAAGACGGGGTGAAGCTGAGGGGTGAGGAGCGGGTGAGGTGGGCACCCATGTGGGTGTTTCTCCTCACCACCACTGGGTGCTCAGCCAGCATCTTGCGGTGGGGCTGGCTTGCTTGTGGGGAGATTCGGGGTGGTGTGACCCCACACCACGGTCCCCTACACCCATCTCTGCCCCCTGGGATGCCCACGGACGTGGGGCTGAGCCACCCTCTCAGTCCCTCCCTTGTCCCCTGCACCCAAAGACACAAAGTAGGGTCCTCCCCCACCCCACCCAGGTGGGTGTCCCCAGGCTGGGCCATGCAACGGGGACAGCCAGCAAGTGGGTGGCCCTCTGCTGGGGTGGGCTTCCAGCAGCAGCTCCATTGACCATGGAGACATGTCCAACCTGTCCCCACCCTGAAGTGGAGCATCCCCTGGGAAGCAGGGCTGGAAAGATGGGGTGGAGCTGAGGGGTGAGGAGCGGGTGAGGTGGGCACCCATGTGGGTGCTGCTCCTCACCACCCATGGGTGCTCAGCCACCATCTTCTTCTGGTGGGGTTGCTTTGCTCTTGGGGAGATTCGGTGGTGGTCCCACACCCCTTGGGATGCTCCCAGATGTGGGGCTGAGCCACCCTCTCGATGTCCCTTGTCCCCTGCACCCAAAGACATAAGGTAGGGTCCTCCCCCACCCCACCCAGGTGGGTGTCCCCAAACTGGGCCAGGCAGCAGGGACAGCCAGCAAGTGGATGGCCCTCTGCTGGGGTGGGCTTCCAGCAGCAGCTCCATTGACCATGGAGACATGTCCAACCTGTCCCCATGCTGGGAAGCAGGGCTGGAAAGACGGGGTGAAGCTGAGGGGTGAGGAGCGGGTGAGGTGGGCACCCATGTGGGTGTTTCTCCTCACCACCACTGGGTGCTCAGCCAGCATCTTGCGGTGGGGCTGGCTTGCTTGTGGGGAGATTCGGGGTGGGGTGACCCCACACCATGGTCCCCTACACCCATCTCTGCCCCCTGGGATGCCCACGGACGTGGGGCTGAGCCACCCTCTCAGTCCCTCCCTTGTCCCCTGCACCCAAAGACATAAGGTAGGGTCCTCCCCCACCCCACCCAGGTGGGTGTCCCCAAACTGGGCCAGGCAGCAGGGACAGCCAGCAAGTGGATGGCCCTCTGCTGGGGTGGGCTTCCAGCAGCAGCTCCATTGACCATGGAGACATGTCCAACCTGTCCCCATGCTGGGAAGCAGGGCTGGAAAGACGGGGTGAAGCTGAGGGGTGAGGAGCGGGTGAGGTGGGCACCCATGTGGGTGTTTCTCCTCACCACCACTGGGTGCTCAGCCAGCATCTTGCGGTGGGGCTGGCTTGCTTGTGGGGAGATTCGGGGTGGTGTGACCCCACACCATGGTCCCCTACACCCATCTCTGCCCCCTGGGATGCCCACGGATGTGGGGCTGAGCCACCCTCCCAGTGTCCCTTGTCCCCTGCACCCAAAGACATAAGGTAGGGTCCTCCCCCACCCCACCCAGGTGGGTGTCCCCAGGCTGGGCCATGCAACGGGGACAGCCAGCAAGTGGGTGACCCTCTGCTGGGGTGGGCTTCCAGCAGCAGCTCCATTGACCATGGAGACATGTCCAACCTGTCCCCACGCTGGGAAGGAGGACTGGAAAGATGGGGTGAAGCTGAGGGGTGGGGAGTGGGTGAGGTGGGCATCCATGTGGATGTTGCTCTTCACCACCCCGGGTGCTCAGCCACCATCTTGCTTGTGGGGAGATTCGGGGTGGTGTGACCCCACACCACAGTCCCCTACACCCATCTTTGCCCCCTGGGATGCCCACAGATGTGGGGCTGAGCCACCTTCCTGGTGTCCCTTGTCCCCTGCACCCACCTTGGGAGGTGCCTGAGGTTGGGGACGGTCCAGGGATGGGGACTTAGATGGAGGGAGAAGACACAGGAGCAAGGAACCCACTTGGGGGACCAACCTTGACCCCCAACATGAAGAGCGCAGGCTGCAGGTGGCCCCCCCCACCCCAGTACCCCAATGCTGCTATGGGATGGATGAGGCGGGGGGGGGACACACCGGACCCTCTCGGGGTGCCTGCTGGCGGCGAGGAGCCGCTTCCCACCGCTCGGCTTCTGCCAAGCAGATGGTCCTGGGCTGGTTTGCAGACTGGCGGCATCCAGGCCATCTGGAGCTGCACAGGGAGGAGGAGGAGGAGGAGGAGGAGGAGGAGGCAGCTTGAGCCAGGATCAGCTTTGCCTCCAAACCCACTGCCCCACTGCACCCGGTTGGAGGTGGCGGGGGACACACACACACACACTGGGAGGACAACTGGTGACCAGCAGCAACGCTGGAGTCACCATCATGGGGCTACCAGGGGGTGGTGGCGTTTCGGGCACGGACGTGGGGCTGAGCCACCCTCTCAGTCCCTCCCTTGTCCCCTGCACCCAAAGACACAAAGTAGGGTCCTCCCCCACCCCACCCAGGTGGGTGTCCCCAGGCTGGGCCATGCAACGGGGACAGCCAGCAAGTGGGTGACCCTCTGCTGGGGTGGGCTTCCAGCAGCAGCTCCATTGACCATGGAGACATGTCCAACCTGTCCCCACGCTGGGAAGGAGGACTGGAAAGATGGGGTGAAGCTGAGGGGTGGGGAGTGGGTGAGGTGGGCATCCATGTGGATGTTGCTCTTCACCACCCCGGGTGCTCAGCCACCATCTTGCTTGTGGGGAGATTCGGGGTGGTGTGACCCCACACCACAGTCCCCTACACCCATCTTTGCCCCCTGGGATGCCCACAGATGTGGGGCTGAGCCACCTTCCTGGTGTCCCTTGTCCCCTGCACCCACCTTGGGAGGTGCCTGAGGTTGGGGACGGTCCAGGGATGGGGACTTAGATGGAGGGAGAAGACACAGGAGCAAGGAACCCACTTGGGGGACCAACCTTGACCCCCAACATGAAGAGCGCAGGCTGCAGGTGGCCCCCCCCACCCCCGTACCCCCATGGTGCTATGGGATGGATGAGGTGGGGGGGGGACACACCGGACCCTCTCGGGGTGCCTGCTGGCGGCGAGGAGCCGCTTCCCACCGCTCGGCTTCTGCCAAGCAGATGGTCCTGGGCTGGTTTGCAGACTGGCGGCATCCAGGCCATCTGGAGCTGCAGGTGAAAAAAAGGCGGAATATCACTCTCTGGCCACCCGGGGATTCTGGATGGCTGCTCTTCCCGGGATTTGCCAGCAGCACTGCCACCGCGTGGCCATCCTTAGGCTTCAGAGTTAACGGCGGTTCCACCAAAAAAAATAAAGAAGGGATGCTCCTGCTTTCCATTTCTGGGAAATATCGCCCCCCCCCCAACCCCAGGGAGCTCTGATTCCCTGTTTATCCATGGGGATTGGGAGCGGGATGGTGCCCGGAGGTGAGGGCTGCCTGGCACAGAGCCGGGGTGGAGACAAACTGGGAAACAAAAAAAACCAAACCAGGAGCAGGTTTTCATTTTGAAGGGATGTTTGGTGCTTTATTGATTGGCCAGTGGACGTTGAGTTATTTATTTAATGGATTTGGGGTGGGGGGGTGGAACAGGGACATCCCAGGGTTTCTCCAAAACCCAGCGTTTTCATTTTGAAGGGATGTTTGGTGCTTTATTTATTGGCCAGTGGACGTTGAGTTATTTATTTAATGGATTTATCCAGGCTTGGGGGGGGACGGGGACATCCCAGGGTTTCTCCAAAATCCAGCGCATCCCTGATGCTGGTGGTCCCTGTCGCGAGTCGGCCTGGTCCCAGTATACAAACTGGTCTGGGAATGCTGTGGGGGTGTCCCCTGAGCCTCGTCAATGGTGTTTTGGTGTGTGTGTGTCCCCCCACGTGTCCCCCAGGTGCCACAAGGGACATTGGCTCCGCGCTGACCCGCATGTGCATGCGGCACCGCAGCATCGAGGCCAAGCTCCGGCAGTTCACCAAGTAAGCGTGCCACCAGTGACACGAGTTGGCTGGGCTCAGCCAACTGATGCTGGGCCCGGGTTGGGGGGCCGGGGGCATCACTGTGGTGTCCCCCCCCCTAAAGCTCTAGCACTCTCCCACTCTCTCTGCCTTCTCTCCTTCTCCAGCGCCCTCATGGAGAGCCTGATCAACCCTCTGCAGGACAGGATTGAGGACTGGAAGAAAACTGCCAACCAGCTGGATAAGGACCACGCGAAAGGTACGGGTGGGGTGGGATGGGATGGGATAGTATGGGATGGGATGGGATGGGGGGGACTGCATCCATCAGTGGGGGGGGTCCCCTCTGACCCCCACATCTCTGCTCCCAGAGTACAAACGAGCCCGCCACGAGATCAAGAAAAAATCCTCCGACACCCTCAAGCTCCAGAAAAAGGCTCGTAAAGGTGAGGGGGGGGTGTGTGTGTGATCTCTTTTTTTGGAGGGGGGGAAAAGGGGTTTACCCCTGCCAACCCCTCTGTGACACCCCTGGCCTGGGGCAGGCATCCTGGATGGGCCACCCCAGCTGCCTCCCAGGGATGGTGGGCAGCAGGGGGGCATCCCACTGCCTCCCCCCCCCCCC